AAAAAAAAAATTTTTTTTAACGTTTATTTATTTTTGAGACAGAGAGAGACAGAGCATGAACGGCAGAGGGTCAGAGAGACGGAGACACAGAATCTGAAACAGGCTCCAGGCTCTGAGCAGTCAGCACAGAGCCCGGCGCGGGGCTTGAACTCACAGACGGCGAGATCATGACCTGAGCCTAAGTCGGACGCTTAACCGACTGAGCCACCTAGGCGCCCCTGAAGGGTACTTCTAAAAGCACAAATTTGACCACCTTCGTCGTTCAGATCTTTCCGTGGCTCTCCACTGCCCCCTAGAGAAAGCCCACATGCCTTGTTTGGCATTCAAAGCCCTGCACGCTCTACAGTGCAGCCCTGCCCTACTCTGGGTCATCACTGCTTGGTGACCCCGGCCCTGACCCAGCACAGGGCTGGGCAGACGACAGGGCTTCAGGATGAAGGAATGACCGGCCATGTTCTAAAGCACCTCGGAAAGCCAATCCCTACCTCCCAACATCCTCCGCTCCCTCAACAGCTCCCGCCTCCTGCGACACTGAACCTTGGTTAGAAGAAAGACACAAAACATTACAGATAAGAGGAACCTCACCTCTGTGGGACTCAGCTGCTTTGTCCCCACGTACGTGACCCCGAAGTGGTAGTTGGACTCCCCGATTGTGCTGAGGGCTACCGTGTGGTTCACCTGGGAGAAGAGGGAGGGCTGTGGAGCCGAGTCTGTGGGCCAGTCGCCGATAAACCCAGCTTCAACCTGCCCCCAGCAAAGCTCCCTTCCAGGCTAGGATGGGGACGCTTGCCAGCCGGGCTTCCCCACCAGGGAGAAAAAGACACGTGGCTAAGGGTTGGGCAGGGGATGAAGACGGGGAGGTTCGGCCCCACCAGATCACGTACTCAAAGAAACGATAAGTTGGAGATGCGGCTACATACCCGGTGCTTTGCTCCTACCTGGATGTTAAGGGGGGGGGGAGGGGTACCTCTGGATTCTGGGTCCCTAAACACTTCCACTGGACCCAATGAGCAGTCAGCCTGGCACTGTGTCTCTGAGAGTCTTTTCAGGTACCAAGGAGCCTAGCCCTTCAGGGGGAGTAAGGGGGTTGTATGTGTCGGCGCAGGGAGATGGTTGGGGTGACCGCTGGAGGGAAAGGGCACCAGGAAGGCTCACCTGGAAATGGTTACTCAACCCTTTGTTGACTGTGAGCTTGACACCTTCCATCTGAATGGGAAATAGCTCTGAAGAGGACAAACACTGTCACTCTCCACTCTCCACACACGCACACCCCCACGCAAACACGTCTCATCCCTTCCTGCCCTACCATCCCCGCACTTCCTTCTCCAGGGACCCAGAAGCAGAGCACTGCACAAAGTACCCCGACCAGGAAAGAGACCGTCTAAGCTAGTAGATGGGGCCAGGACCAGAGCCTCTGCCTGCATCCAAATCCCAAAGCAACCACCTACTGCCCATTTGACTCAAGACAAGTCGCTTTAACTCTCTATGTCAAACTTGTCACCTATGTCATCTGTAAGCTCACCACGTGGAGACACCGCAAACAGTTCGTGGGTTGACATACCCCGAATGCCAAAACAATGCTCAATAAGCCATCACCGCCTTTGCTATCATACTTGTTCCAAGCCAAGATCCAGAAGCCTTGAATTCCACCCCCCACCGGACCCTTGCTGACACAGTGACCTTGGGCCTCAGTTTCCTTCCCGATCACACAAGAAGGCTGGCTTGGCTGATCCCTGGGGCTCCTAAGATCCCTAAGGCTTTACTCCACTGCTCTGGCATTCCATCCTGAGGTTCCACCATTTGATCCCCTCGTTCTGTGCTCCAAGTCCAACGTTCCACCTCTCGATCCTAACGTCAACTCCTAACGCTGTTAGTTTCCAATGGTCCGTGCCAATTCCCAAGGTCCTCAGAGTGCTCTCCCTCCCCCCACTCCCCCGAGATCCGGGCCCTCACACCCCTGCCGGGTCTCTCTCCCCTCACCCTTGCACTTCCGGTGGCACTCCTCGAACGTGCCCGGGTTGGGCAGGCAGCCGCAGGCCCCATCGTCCGCAGTCCCTGCGGCGCTGCCGGCCGCAGCACCGGGGGTCCTTTCCGAACCTCGACCCGCACCAGCCCCAGCGCCCAGACCGCCCCCGAGTGGCGGCAGCGTGAAGCCCGGAGGAGAGGGCGGAGGCGGCGGCAGTCCCACGAGGGCGGGCGCGGGCGGCGGCGGCGGCCCTGCGGGAGGCGAGCTAGCGGCCAAGACGTTCCCCATGGTCGCCTGCAAGGGGGAAGGTCAGAGGGCGAAGGTCAGGGCCCGCGCACTCCAGGCCCAGTCCCAGCCAAACCCGCTGTGCCCCGGGCCCCGGTTCTCACTGGCGGCAGCGCCTGCACCCGGCCTGGGCTCCGCTCCCACCCCGTGCGCCACGCGCAACCGAACCCGCTGCCGCCGCCGCCGCCACCGTCGCCCCGCCCCGCCTAGTCCATTGGTTCAGCATGCCCTGGGGTCCGCCTACTAGCCCCAAGGCCTGGCCCTGCAATTGGAGTCATGGCTGGGAGTCCCACCCACCTCTTTGAGACGTCCTTTTCTATTGGTTCCCACTCACAGGCAGGTCAAAGCACACCTCCCCGCCTTTGCCATTGGCTCGCAGTGCTCACATCTATTGGCTCGCAGCGCCGCGGGTTCCGGTGTTCGTCAGTCATTGGTCTGCGCTGCGCACTTTGAAACGCCCCCTGACTCGTCGCCTCCGCCCCTCTCCAGAGGGCGTCCCTCTTTCGACTCCGCCCCGCGGCGAAGTTGCCATTGTAATTGGTCTGCTTTGGCCCTTGAAGCATTCTGATTGGCTCCGAGGGTACAGGAGGCCGACCCTGGTGACGTATCCGGCCTGGTACGGTCATTGGCTAACGTGCCAGGGTCGAGGGACGCGGGTAAAGGTGGGTTGCGCGGCAGAAGCTGCTAGGCAGCAAGGTCAGGCCTCTCGTCCCACCAGGCACCGCGGCGGACGGGCAGCCCCTTGGTCCAGAGTCGGCGACCGAAAACCGGAAGTGCTGACCCTTCCCACAGTGCCTCGGGAGAACTCTAACCGGTTTATGTGAACCCCGTCCTGCTTCTTCTTACCCACAATGCCCCTTACCTGTTTAACGCGAGACGTTGCCGTAGACCCACCCCTTTCGTTACCCATCATCCCTTCTGTTCCCCGCCCCCACTGCGGCTTCTATCTTTGGCCCATTCATTCCCGTCCTATTACCCAGCATGCCTCTGTCCCATTCATTTCAGCCTCATTTCTTCAACTACCTATAGCTCGTTTCTGCCTGTTCACTTCCATCATCCTAGCGCGTCTTTAATTAGCCATGATGTTTTGGGTCCATTACCCATCATGCCTGCCGGCCCTGTTTTCTCTATTATTCCTCTGCCTCTGGCTCATTCATTCAGTTCTATTAACCATAATGCCCTGAGCTCCTATGCATTATTCGTAATTTTGCCTTTGGCCTATTCTTACTTGCCATTTATCCTTTAAACCTGAGTCCCTCAAACTGAATTACTGCCATTTCTATCTTTGTTCCGTTTATTCCTGTCCATTACCCATAGATTGTCGTTCCCTGTCATTAACCACCGTTCCCTGGACTCCTCCCCCTTTCCTTCCATTATCCCCCATTATGTTTTTGGCTTACGCGTTTTTGCTCATTATCCGCGCACTTAATTTTTTTTTTTTTTTTTTTTAGATATCTTTGGCCCTTCTATTTTTTGCCTGTAACCCATCTTGACGTCTTTCCTACTGATTCCTTCGAGCTCTAGGCGCCCTCTTCATTTCCCATCATGTCCCACTCCCATCCCCTTCACATCCCGCAGAAAACACAAGTTGACACCCGGTCAAAGTATAAACTCAGCTTTTGTAGGAAATGCTGTATTACAAAACTGTATTATATCCCCACCCACCCCCTCCAACCCCCACCCCCTGCCAGGAGACGTTTGGGTTCCATCCCACTGGGCAGGAGTAAAAGGACTCAGTAGTCTTCAGCGTAACAGCAAATTCTTCTCCTAAGGCTGGGACTGGCAAGGCACACTGCATGAGGCTTACCTCATCCTAACCCCGGGCCGGGGTTTAATTCCCTCTAGACAGGAATTGGGGTAGTGGGGGCTCAGGGAAGGGTCTGGACCCCTGAGACTCCTGCCTGCAGGAGGGAGATGAGGAAGTTCCGCTTTGGACTGGGGAATCCCCTCCCTCTTGCCTTTGGGGAACAGACAGGGTGGGGAGGGGGAGAGTGGGGCTCTGCTGCCTGGAGGGCTCAGGTCTGAGCAGCAGGGTGCCCCCACCAACTACCCCAGCAGAGCTATTGGGAGTTTACTTCCTGAGGACACATCAGAGGTCTGGGGTTCTTCTTTGGGGTTTTGAGGGAGTCTGGAGATGACGGGACGTGAGAGGTATGATCTAAAGTCACAGTCTTAGGAGTCCTCGGGTCAGTGGCTGTGCAGGAACGTGCTTCCCCACCCCCACCTGAGATAAGGTTTGCCAGGTTTCTGTTGTCATGACTGGTTTCTCTGGGTCAGAGATCATGGATTAGAGGTCATCGTGGAGCCACTGAAGTAGAAGTCACAGATGAGATGCATTTTTGTGTGTTAACTGACAGTGGCCTGGCCTGGCAGAAAATTGAGGGATCAAAAAGTGAGAGGCAAGAGGCCAGGGCCACGGCAGCTCACACATACATGGCTCGGGACATGACAAAGCCTTTGCTCCGGTAGGAATCAGCGGGGCTAGAGTAGGACAGGGCATCATAGATGGGGTTGATCTTGTCCAAATAGTCTTCCTCCTCCTCCTCCTCCTCTAAGTCCAGGGAAACCCTCTCCACAGCAGGTGGCCCCGGAGGCACCAGGATGGGGGACCCCAGGCCTGTAGCCCCCAGGAGCAGGGGCCCTGACCTCTCTTCCAAGGTGGGCAGCTCATGATATCGAGGCATATCCTGGGGGCAGGGAGGGAAAAAGCCCAAGGTCATCTCCTGAGCACACAGAATCCCAACCCGCCCCTTGACCCCCAAATCTCGACCATCTCCTTATGCCAACCAGACCCGACCTAACCCCTTGCGGCCTGGGCTGAAATTGCTCTGGGGCAATCATACGGCTTATCCAGAACTCAAAGCCCAGACCCCATCGCTCCTGGGCCTCTCCTTTGTCTTTGGATCCCTGACCACAAGTCTTTCTCCACGAACCTTTGACTTCAATCTTATCCTCAACTACTTAACCTTAAGGCCGAAACAGCTCCTTGAACCTCGGTTTGTCTCAACTTTGATAGGACCCCTGACATCCAGCAGACCGCTTTCACTGACTGAGTGACCTTGAGCTCTAACCTCATGTTCTTGCGCTTTTTCAACCAAGATCTCCCCCACTGAATCCTAAACACATCTCGATTCTCTAAGCTCTGACCAGAGACACGGCCCTGACCTTGAATTGTGACCTTTAATGTCAGGAGCTGACCCCGGCCCTAAACCCACCCCTGACCTGCCCTGAGCTCCTACCTGCTCAGCACATGAGACGCCAGCATCAAAGTAGGGAGTCTTGAGTGGGCTGTGCTCCGAGGCCCCAAGAGTGAAGAGCTGGGAGGGCTGCAGGGAAGGAAGAGGGGTGGGTCAGGACAACCCCCCCAAGGCTGGCCTCTCCCCACCAGCTCCCCCTCCTAGCCCCCGCCTCAGTGGGAAAAGGTGGGTGTGGGTGTGGGCGCAGCCGGGTACCGGGGGAAGTGCTCACCATCTCTGGCTCCTCGAGCTTCGCCTTGGGGGTTGGTGGCTTGTACGAGGGAGGCCCCTCCAGACTGTGGGGTAGGAGGTAGGTCAAGGTGGAGGCTCAGACGGGAAGAGCCCTCCTATCCCAGGTCACCGCACCTGCTCTCCCCTCTGCCTGGTCTCCCTTTCCACCGCCCGCGTGCCCCCTTACCCAGCTAATGCCTAATCATCCTCATCAATTTCTCTTCTTCCAGGAAGCCTCCCTGATTCTCCAGGAGGGTCAGGAATTCTGGACATATGGTTACATCTAGCTTTTCTTCCCTCTCAGAGCATTTACTGAGTTTGTGTTTGAAATATCATTTCTGATATCGTCCAATAACCGTATCCCACTGTGAAGCAATGTGAAGGAAAAAATGAAATCTGTGTCTTCAACAGTGTTCTCAGAACTCGCCATGAGGAAGTCAGGAAGTATTTGTTAATAGAATGAATGAATAAACGAAATGCTTTCCTGGCCTCCAACCTACGATACATTTCCCTCATCATACATACCCACAGACCAGAGCATCCTGCATGCATAATGAGTGCCTACTGTGCCTTCGATCCCCACCTCGGATGTTGCCTCCCCCAGGGAGCCCTCCCTGACGCTCCACGCTGGGTCAGGGGCCCCCTCTGGCCTCTCACAGCTCTCTCAGCTTTTCTAGCCCATCGCCGGCCATGCTGCACTGCCACTCGCTAGGGATGGGACTGTTTCCTCCAGACTGTGAGCCCCAGGAGGGCAGGGCCATCTCAAGCACCACTGGGTCTCAGCACTGGGTTGGACAGAGGAGATCGATGGCAAGTTGTTGGTTTGAACTGACTAGATGATTAAGGCAGTGGTTCAGAAACTTTCTTGTGCATCAGAATAACTCGGGGAGCTTGTTATAAATACAGATTCCGAGCCCTTCCTGTAAAAGTTCTGATGTAGTAGGTTTGGTATAAGCTGGGGAATCTACATTGTTAACAAGTGTTTCACGCCTGCCGCGCGCACGCCCACACACACACACACACACACACACACTGGGTAGTGTTACTTCAGAACCATTTTGAGCCCCAAATGCTTACTTGCTGGGCGAATTTCAGCAAGTGATCTCAGCCCCCTCTGAACCTGTTTCCTTTCTGATAAAATGGGTACCATTGGCTCCCTGTGAGAATTTATGTTTCCATGATGTATTTATGTGTGTGAACACTTTAAAAATGTTTGTCTCATCAGTGCATCACTAACCTCCAGGGCCTGGCCCTAGTGGATACTTTCTGAACGCTTGTTGAGTCAACGAATGGATGTGAGGCTTCATCAAGGTCACACATGTAAAAATGCATCTCGCCAAGCCTGGCACATAACAAATGTTCTACACAGAGACATGTAGCTGGTTCCCTCCTGGCCCCCATATCCAGGCTCCTTCTTTCTCATATTAAGAGATTTTAGTTCGGGGTGCCTGGGTGGCTCAGTTGGTTAAGCATCGGACTCTTTTGTTTGTTTATTTGCTTTTTGCATCTGTAAAAGGCATTTATTCCGAGAATCTA